TGATATCTTGCCATTACTTAGTTTGCTTTTTAGCACCAATTTCGCCTTCAAATGGTGTAGCATCTTCCACAGCTGAGGAATGGACAACGGAACTTCCTATTTCATCTATTGAAAGGGAAAGGGAAGGTCCATGTTAGACTGCGTTTATAATAGACACACAGCTTAGTTAATTAAGGTGGCTTGATACAGTTTTTGAGGGTCAATACCTCTCAAGTTTGAGCATAAACTACGTCGCCAAAAACAAAGTTTTGGAAAAATTGCCACCACAGTTGTATTAGATAAAGATGAAAATTTGTTATGATCAGTGTTGCAACGGCATCGGAGTTGTCATAGCAACGAAATGACGCTATTGCCTATTTTACTTGCAGCAGTATATCTCGGCACTGGGAACTGTTCTTCGAAATCATTCACGGGAGCTTTTTCCTCCAATAGCGGCCTCGATGTTCGTGAAGTTTAAGCGAAATCTGTAAGAGCGATATCGAGATATTTTGCGATAATGTTTTCATTGTTAAATACACAGTAAAAAATGGACAGTATTGTTGTGTGGCCGTTATCTCTAGAAAATGAAGCGTTTTTGACACGCAATTTCACCTCATAGTATTTTCAATCTTTTTAAAAGTGTGTGTGAAAGATCATGGGAGATAGCTCAAGCCGATTGCTAGAAAGAAGGGTTTGATTAGTATGTATTGAAGCGCTCTTGTTAGCGGTTTTGTAAACATTTTGGTCTTCTTTAACAAATTAGCGAATAATTTTTAAACCGCTCGATAGATTTTTTTAAAAATTTAAGATTCTTGATATTAACCTTCCTTTTACATGACCTTTTAGTTTCAAGATTATTGATATGTTGTAAGGCAGTAAAATAAGGGCTACAATTCGTTACTTTTTTATCGGAAGTTTCGTCATTACAAGTGAAAGCCTCTAATTATTCAAGGCATTGTCTCCAAGTTTGATTTTCACGTGAACAGCAGTAACTAACAATGCATTTGAAATATGCAAAAATGCTAGCTTTTGTTGTGCACAAAAATATGAAACTTGGACACAATACCCTGAATAATGAGAGGCACACACTTGTAAACACAAAATTTCGGCCAAAATAATAGCGAATTGTAGCCCTTATTTTACTGCCTTACAATATATCAATAACCTTGAAACTAAAAGGTCATATAAAAGGAAGGTTAATCTCAAGAATCTTAATTTTTTAAAAAAATCTATCGAGCGGTTTAAAAATTATTCGCTAGTTTGTCAAAGCAGACCAAAATGTTCAAAAAACCGCTAACAAGAGTGCCTCGATACATAGTAATCAAATCCTTCTTTCTAGCAAACGGCTGGAGCTATCTCCTTGATCTTTCACACACGTTTTTAAAAAGATTGAAACTACTATGAGGTGAAATTGCATGTCAAAAGAGCTTCGTTTTCTACAGATAACAGCCGAACACCAAGATTGTCCATTTTTTACAGTATTTCTAACGACAAAATCTTTATCCCAAAATATCTCGATAACGCTCTTACAGATTTCGCTTAAACTTCACGAACATCGAGGCTGCTATTGGAGGAAAAAGCTCCCGTGAATGATTTTCGAAGAACAGTTCCCAGTGCCGAGATATACTGCTGCAAGTAAAATAGGTAATAGCGTCATTTCGTTGCTATGACAACTCTGAGG